CCTTGCCTCCCACGTACTGTACTGCACGTATTTCTATTAACTATTTGGTTTATTTCACTGTGCTTTTAGGTGGAAGGGAATAAGAACGTATTTTTACGTACTGGTGTAAATAATTTATTTGTCATTTTCACACACACACACATGCATTTATATACGTAAGAAAAAGAAAATTTCAGTTTTTATGTAGCTCTACGGTTTTCTTCATTTTATTGGATGTAGTAATGTCAAGTAACGCCCTCTGTGATGATTCTGTTATATTACCAGGATCTCTATTACCAAACAACATCGTCCTTTAGGCCCCTGTAGGCTGCATAGTTCTCATATTTCCATTTTGATATATTGTAAATATTTTTATTTGTATTTATAAAATATCGTGTTGGTTTTGCATTTTTTTTTCATTTTAACTCCAAGTTTGTTTGTTGTAGAATATCATTACATCATTCAATGCAAAGTAGTTATTTCATCCGCATAAAAACACGAACAACGGGTTGAATGTACGTACAGTTAATGACATAACTAGATATGCTCCTTATTAGAATAACACGTTGTTGGTTTACCGTTTTTTTTCTTTCAGTTTCAGCCATAAGTCGTTTAACTGAGGCTCTATATTGGTTGAATCCTCTGTCGTTGTACATTAGTTACTGTGTGACACTAAGAATATTATTACCCTAGTCCCTTTTGTGTCAATAGCTATTACAGATGGTTAATCATAATTTACTTGGACGATTAGTGAGACCACCTAAGAGGTCTTCAATGATCAATATGTTCATCTCGCCCTTGTTCACAAGCTTACTTGTTCCTGCTGTCAGGAGGCTTACCAGGTCAGCGATTTGTCCACTATGGGTACACGTGTAAAAGAATATCTACTCCTTTTTGTATCGAATCAATCTTTTGTTTGCCGCTACATTACTCACGATTACGTTACAGCTAATAGTGACGTCATCACTCTAAACAGTGCCACCAGTGAACGAACTTTACGGCTCATCCTTCTTCTTTTAAAGCCAGAATTGATTGCTCCCTTATTGCTGAATAGTATATAGATCCGTAACATTTTGAACAAAATTTTAATTGGTTAAAAAAAGGCAGTTGCTTTAAGATTTTCCTGAAAGTATTGCCACAAAATCAAGCAAAACAATAATGTTACCTCTAGTGATCTTATTCCTCAGCCTTTGTGAGTCTGTGTATAATAAACAGAAAACTTAACAACCATTGGTCCATTGATTAGAAAATACCACAAAGTTGAAAAGAACTGAACTACTCAGTTGAGTCATGAAGAAATTACTACTAAACTGTAAAGGAAGAACAAACACGTACAACACACACAAATATATATATGTACCTACACATGTGTGTATATATACTTAGTTTTGTGTGCGACTGGTTAATCATTCGTAAAGAAGCTAAACCCACTGTCATTTGCATGTTTAGACATTGTAATTAATACTGTTTAAACGCCGAAAGCTGACGAAGCATTAGAAACCAATCGATTTAAATTTTATAGACTTTCAGAGAAATTTCAGCTTTTCATCGTTCAGCCCAATTGACGAGTTCTGGTATTGAATGAAAGGCCTCTTGGGCAGTGACTTGTGAGAGATAAAAGATAGATCACGCCTTTGATTTTAAATCCATTAAGAGGAATATGGTGGGGGGGGGAACAAAAATTTGCAGTTTACGTGATTATAAATGTTATACCTTTGTTCTTCCTTAATGAGCAAAAAACAAAATATTAAGAACGACAATTTCCAGCACTTACAGAGAAAAGTGTTGTTTTATTGGTGGGCTTTCTCTTACTCTACCTTTTATTTTGAGATAAAATTGAATGGTAAATTTACTTCTTTCTTTTGTTTGTTTGTCTAGATACTTCGGTGAGAAGTGGGAAGAGAACTGTCCCCATAAAGTCCAAACTATTCACATCTATACCTCATAGACGCCTGAAATACGCTTTGATATTGTCCACTGGCACATAGATGAATTGATAATGAGGGAACTTTATCAAGCACGATCCTACTAGGCCATTTTAGAGACAGTGAACACCTCGTAATGGAATTATAACTACTGCTGTGTTGTTCCTGAGTATATTCCTTCACTACGTGTAGGCAGACGTCTTTCTGCCATCACGATGAGAGTTTATTTCATCTGTGTCAAAGCTGTTCTATGTTAACGTTTTGGAGTCCAATTTTATATATAGGAAGAAAGGGTTCAAATTTAATTCTGCTTTTTATTCTCAGCTATATGGATTTTTCTTATGCTAGGCTGTTCATCTTCAACCAATATTTAAACACACGATGGATTATTGGATTTACTGGTACAATGTTTACCAGAAGTTGTTATATTGAACATTAAATTCTGAAGGCTATCCAGCTATGCTTCATAGCCATGATGAATTTTCAATTTTAAAATTTTTTCTATGAGTAGCTTATGGTCCAAAGAGTCATTATACGTGTATGTTCCCAGTAGAAAATAATGTATTATAGGCATAAGATTAAGCACACCAGCGTGAATCACCTGATCATTAATCTCGTTTGTATTGTTATTAATGTATTTAGAAATTAACGCAAAGCTACGCAACAGCTGTTTGCGTAAAGCTGCCCTTAATTTTGAACTGATAAGTGAGAGGGAAAACAGCTAGTCAATAGCTTAGGCTACTTTTCTCTCACCAAATAGCAAGATTTTACCATCACTCCTATAGTGTCCCCACACCTCAAAAGTGCGCAGTGTGTTTTTGTGACAATGACACGCAACAAACCATGACTCTTGGGATTCACAGTCCCAGCACGCCAACCACCAGGCCACGCCGGGCCCATGTCTTGTTCGAGAGACGTGTTTCCCAAGCTGTTAATCGCGACCCTCAAATTGCTGCAGAAATAATCCAGGGGGGGGGGATCATGATAATATAAAATATTAATAATTGTCCTTTCGTAGAATGAATAAAAGTCCTTCTAAATCACATGGACAGTCAAACCATGTTTGTTAATTTAATACGTTTGTAATATTTTAGAATCTGGTGTTAGAAATATATCCTAGGTAGACGATGAGGAGAAGGGAGGTGGGGGGGGGGGTAAAGACTGGAACAAAGGGAGGTGGTGATAATCAAAAGTTTGGGAAACCCTGATGTACAATTACCGTTAAAACTGTTATTCTTGTACTTAATAACATCTTTATGATATTAAAGCAGGTGTGGTACTTTATTTCGGCTCTGCACATGCTAACCTGAGATTTTTAGAGTTACCCTACAAAGCACTAGGCGTTATTTTGTTTTTAAGCCTTTTTTTTTTAAATTGTGAAACAAGATCGTCTAGGAAATATTTTACACTTTAGATTTCGCACAGTTTACCAAGCAGAGTTTTTGTTATATTATATGTACATACACTTTGAACACATAGACTTTGAATATATATATATAATATTTATTACCGTATTGAAGGTTCCCTTTGGGAGAGTAAAGTCTCCTAAGCACAGATATCTTAATACTAAAACATATCCAAAATTTATGGAGAATCTGGAATACATAAAATTAAGTTTGTTCTGTTAATCTTGTTTTACATATTCATTTATTTATTGAGCTACTTTTTATAAGCATTTTTTTCCCATTTAAAGACGTCAGTATTGCCAACTTAGTGGCTATACTGTTAGACTTTGTTTATTGTTCGAAACATGTAACTGTTAGTTAAAAACATCATTTAACTTATGTATTTCGTATTGATGTATAAAAACATCTTAATACTAGCAATAAACAACCTTATAGCGCCAAAACTGCTATTTTTCTTCAATTGGACACTCAACGTTTCGCTTTACAGTTTCTTCAGGAGCTTCCCGCTAAAATACAAACCGAAACGTTGAGTGTTCAAGTAAAGAGATTCGAACCCGTAAACCACAGATTGTGAATCGAGTACCCCTAGCCATTAGGCTATGCCACACCGAAAAAGACAGACTGTACTCGAATTCTAAGTAGTCTTAACACTTATTGAAGTTGAAGTATATGGTCCGGGCCTTTTTGTTTTGTACGATACACTTGTTTTATTGCAGATAAAAACTTCGATCAATCGATCAACGAATTATATGATTGAGTATGAGCAAGAAAACGTGCTCTTAAAGCGTTTTTAAGTAGATAGTAAGTGTTCTTCAATACAGAATATTTGTTCTATAAACCAGTTTATTGTTTTTGAACAGAATAATTTAAACAATTTCTGGACTTTTTTTCCAGTAAAGTTTGAAATTGATGGGTGTTCGTCAATAATAGTGCTTAAACCAGGTAATTGTTGGTTACCATGGTTTATGATAGCTGGTAATTGTTAGTTACTAAACAGTCAACTGTTAAGTAATGTGGAGTGTACTACTAACTCCCACGTGTTCTTATGGGTATTATTATTACAAGATGATAATCATTGACTTGCGTCCCCCCTCAGGGGTGGACAATCCCCTGTGTTGTTCGACGTAACGGGTTTTCTAACTGTCCAGTTGCAGGCCAGGAAGACCACCTAAGAGGGCTTCAATGGTCAGTATGTCCACCTCACCTAGCAATTTAATGAAGAAAGGAAGACTTGAAGTAGACTACCATGGTTATGAAAACGGATTCGTGAAAGGTAAGTTGAAAATCATGAGTATTTCTATTAGTAGTTTTAGCCTCCGTACTTTTTGTTTGACTTTAGAATTACAAAATGTGTTGAGTTCACAAAAAGGAAAAAAAAAGAACGAAAAAGAATTAAATCAACGTTTTTTATGTTCTTAAAATACAAAAATGTTTTCACAAATTAGAAATAAAATATATACTTTTCTAAATAAGTAGAGTATTGTTGATACTCAGCAATCTTAGAACAGAAACTGATTTATAAAATATTAGTGAATTTCCCCCAAAAATGTAACTCATTAGAATAGTCATTTCATGTGAGCAGTATGCGGTGAATATATGTTAACAAGTTTGTTATTATTTATTTCTGAACTTGTTGGAATCCATGTCCAGTCCGTGTCTCAATATTCCATATCTACTAATGGAGTTGTAGCCAATACAGCAGTACTTAAAGGCTAACGTTTCTGAAACACAAGTAAACGATTTTGTTTGTTTGTTTTTGAATTTCGCGCAAAGCTACACGAGGGCTATCTGCGCTAGCCGTCCCTAACTTAGCAGTGTAAGACTAGAGGGAAGGCAGCTAGTCATCACCACCCACCGCCAACTCTTGGGCTACTCTTTTACCAACGAATAGTGGGATTGACCGTCACATTATAACGCCCCCACGGCTGAAAGGGCAAGCATGTTAGGTGTGACAGGGATTCGAACCCGCGACCCTCAGATTGCGAGTCGAGCGCCTTATCCACCTGGCCATGCCGGGCCACGATTTTGTTAACACAATTCTGGACGCTTTTCACTAAAGAACAATATAAACAAAAAAAAAAATATCCGTTAGCTTTTCTATCTAAAAGAACAATGCTGCCGAATTAAGAACCGCACAGTGACGGAGATGCAACGTTTAGATTGTGTCAGGTATTCCCGCAAAAATACAAAGCTACACGAGGGCTATCTGCGCTAGCCGTCCCTAATTTAGCAATGTAAGACTGTAGGGAAGGCAGCTAATCATTACCAACTACCACCAATTCTTGGGCTACTCTTTTACCAACGAATAGTGGGATTGACCGTCACATTATAACGCCCCC